AGTAGAGAATATCTACTCAATAAAAGAAATAAAATAAAAAGTATGGCTTATTTATAGTAGAGATTATCTACTCTCAAAATAATATCAAAAATAAAAAAATCAATATAATATTATAATCCAAAAATTCAAAATCAACTTTATATGATCAAAGAAATAAAACCAAGTTCAAGATAGGGTACTGGTATAACCAAATTATACTTTTCAAATAATTCAAACAAAACTATGAAAGGGTACTAATATAATTTATATTTTCCAAATAAATCTTGACAAAATTGTTTATTTTAGCTGGGATAGCAGATTCTTTTATATATTTTTCAGATATAAAAATTATTATAGTATTACTAGCTAATACTATTTAATATATAATATGTAATTAAAGTATTATAGTATAAATAAATATGAATAAGTTATGTTGAAGTATATTAAAAGATATTAAAGAATGTTAAAGAATGTCAAAGTACGTGAAAGAATGTTGAAAGACATAAAAAGACATGAGAAGATGTAAAAAGATGTGAGAAAATATGAAAAGATGTGAGAAGATATGGAAAGACATGAAAGGATGTGAGAAAATATCAAAGGATGTCAAAGAATGTGAAAAGATATTTGAGATTATCATTTAAGTGTAATCATTTCACCAAAATTAAAAATAATCTTTCACTATACTATTCTACTATGTACATAAATATCATATTACAAGATAATAAAAATATAGATCCTGAATATTAAATAAAATATAATGTTAAAAAGAGAAACATAATAATAAATATAATAATAAATGATATAGAAAATAGGAATAATTATAAAATAAATAAAATTATAATAAAATGTAATTTTTCATAACTAGGAAAAGATTAAGGAATTAAGAAATTTTATATTACTATAGTAATAATATAATATTATACTAATATAATAAATTTTAATATAAATAATAATTTAAAATATTAAAAATTATAATATAAATCAAGTTATTTTGATATTTTATTTAAATAAGTAAATACTTTGAAATTTTTTTATATATAATATATAATAAGTTATGATTATCTATAAAATTTTAGCCTAATTAAATATCTTCAGAAAATTTTTCAAATACTAATATTTTACTTATATATTTCTTGTAATTTTAACTATAAGAATTCAGAAATTCATAACTTGACATTTTTCTAATCAAATTTTATAATTCTAATTTTATTTAATTTCTTTGTATTATTAAATTATATTATTTAAATAAATTTAAAAAGATTACTATATAATTACTATTATAAAATATAAATAATTATATAATAAGATAATATTAATAAATAACATATATGTTTGCTATCAAGTATGATAATAATTTTCTTTTAATTTGACTATATATCTTAAGAAAAATATAAATATTAATTTAGAAAATAAAATAAAAAAAAGATTACAAAAATCAATAAAAAATATGTAAAAATATTAATTTTTAAATTTTATATCTATTTTAATATATTTTTAAAGATAAATATTAGATATTTGAAAATTTTTCTGAAGATACTTAATTAAACCAAAATTTTACAGATAATTATAATTTATTATATACTATATATAAGAAAATTCCAAAGTACTTTACTTATTTTTATTCTAAACTAGAAGTATTTAGATACTTTTATTTCTTACTCTATATATATAATAATTTTTTTATTTAAAGTTTATTATAATATATTTTATAATTATTAATTATATAATTTAATTTCTTATAATATTTTATAAATATAAATTATAATTAAGATTATTTTTTAAATTAATTTATATAATAAAATATTAAATTTAAAATTTAAAAAACTTTTATATTGATTAATATTAAATTAATATAACTAAAATATTAAATAATTTTATAAATATTAATAATTATTTTATAAAAATTAAAATTCTTTCAAATTTATAATAGAAAAATAAAATTTATTAGTAAAATATATATTATAAAAACAAAATTATTAAAAATTAATATATAATAACTTCTATAATTATGAAATTAAGAAGTCAATTTTATTAATAAATATAATAAAAATTAAAATTTTCTCTTTATATTAAACTTTATAATTTATTAAGAAATAATTTTTATTTTTATATTAAAATAAAGTTTATAAATTATAGTTTAATATATATTTTTTTCAGATTTTTTAGATTTTTTCTGAAAAAATTATTCTAATTATAAAATAAATATAAAAATTTTTATTAATTTAATTTTAATTTAATTAGTAAAAATTTTTATACTAACTTTATAATTAGAATAATTTCTTCAGAAAAAACTGAAAAAAATATATATTAAATTATAATTTATAAATTTTATTTTAATATAAAAATAAAAATTATTTCTTAATAAAATTTTAATATTTAATATAAATAAAAAATTTCAAATTTTTATTATATTTTATTAATAAAATCAATCTTTTAATTTTATATTATAAAAGATATAATTTTATATTATAAAAGATATTAGAATTAACTTTTAATTAGTAAAAACATATTTTTATTAATTATAATTAGTAAAAATATATTTTTATTATATATAAAATTTTTTAATTTTATTATTAAATATTTTTTATTTTAACTTAAAATAAAACTAGTATTTTCTAGAAGAGTTATTCTAATTATATATAAACTTAATTGATTATTAATTAATAAAATTAATTATTTTTATATGTAATTAGAATAACTTTCAAAAAAATTCAAAAAATCTGAAAAATATATATATTGATCAAAAGTATTAGCTATTGAATAAAATTTTGTCAAGTTATATTATTTTAAATATAATTTATTCTATGAAAATCTAATAAAATTTCTAAACTTTTTTTATTTGAAAGTTAAAGAATTTTAATTTCTTTATCTTAAAATAATATCTTTATTTTTATTTTAATTTTCAAAAAAAATAATAAAAACTTGAGAGTTAACTAATTTTAAGTATAATATAATTATCAGTCTTTACAAGAGAAATTATACTGCTATAAATATTGAAAAAATACTTAAAAGATCTAGAATAACTTGTATTAATATAATAAAAAAATTTGAAAAATCTCAGATTATATCTAATTTTTCTTGTTCAGAAAGACTATCTCTTTGAAAATTATTGATAAATATCATTTTATTTATATTGCAGTTATCAATTAGAAGAATATTACAGAGAAGAATTTAATAATCTCAAATTAACTCAAGTTAGTATGAGTATTACAAGATATTTTCTACATAAACAAGAATATTTTAGCTATATTAATAGAAGAAAATTGCTTATTTCTGAAAGTAATAGAAAAAGTGATCAAGATAATGTGAAAAATAAAAATAGTAGAATGAAGAATGAAATAATATTATTTAAAGTGATGAATCTTGCTTTCTTTTATATAAAAATAATGATAAATATTATGTGTGATATAAATCTCATGAATAGTATGATATAAATTACATATTTTCTACTATAAAAATTGATAACAAAGCAATTATAATTTGGTGATGTTTTACAAAAAAGAGACTTGGTTCTTTAGTAATTATTAATGAATTAATTACAAATAATACATATAAAATGCTATTAGAAGAGCATTTGTTAGGCTTTATATAAAGTCTTGATGATGATGTCACATATATTTTTCAAGATGATAATACACCTGTACATAGAGCAAAGCCTGTAATCAAATAGAAAGAGAAAAATTTAATTATCTCTCTTTCATGACCTGCACAAAGCCCAAATATTAATCCAATTAAGCATCTATGAGATGTTTTGGATCAACAAGTACATATGCTAAAACCTCATTCAAAAAATTTGTGGAAATTGAGTGATGTGCTAAAGACAGAGTGGCTAAAAATTTCCATCAGCAATTTAGAAAAATTGATAAATAGCATGCCATATAGAGTCAGTGCTGTAATTAAAAATAAAGGAAATCCCACAGAATATTAATCTAAAATTCAAAAAGTTCATATTTAGGTGAGTTTATTGATATAAAGTTTATCATGTGTTGTTAATGCTGTTGTTGTATAAAGTCATTTCGAATTCTAAGTGTTTCAATGATCATCATGTGACCAATACTTTTGGCCAGTATGTGTATATTAAAATAGAGAACTCTAGCTTTATTTTGAGTTAGAAATAAAAAATATTTAATGGTAAAAATTTTTATATCTAATAAAAAACATGTGTTTTAAAAAAATTCAAGCAATGCATTATTTTTGATTTTCTTTTAGTATTGCAATATAATGCTTTATAAAATAATACTATTCACATTATCAATAATATTTCTATAAAATTAAATTCTGGAATTAGAGTTAGACATAATTACTATATGAATATGCATATAGCTTGAAAATTTTTATTTATATGTAAAATGTAGAAGAATTTTTTTAATTTAGGAATTTAAGATGCAAGAGCTGTTTAATTATAAAAATTTTATATATCGATATAATTGTATATATAATTTAAATCGAGCGGTGTTTTTTTTAGGGTTCTGTATAGATGTATTAGTTACATAATTTATCTTAACACCACTAAACTGTACATCCCCATAAAAAATTTTTTGTAGAACGAGAAAATCACCCCATAGAAATCACTTACCCACCCATATGCACAATTAAATAATGTTGCATTCATCTCCCGAGCTCGAAATAGAGTTGCAATAACAGCCAACCAGTTCTATAATTAATTAAGTAAAAATTCGTATATTATATCAGATTTTCGAACCTGCTCTATTTATTGAATATCAACAATGAGATTTCAGATGACTTTAAGAATTTTTTCTTAGTCTAGAGTATCAATAACGATAATAGCAATTATGCTTGTAAATCATATTGTTGTCATTTCAGGAAAAGTGGTAATCTGGCTACATGTAAAATTGAACGTTGTTACACATGAAAGACCCTTTATCAAGATAATCGAGTAACCGATAATACATCTTCATGTGCATTGATATTACTCCAACTCATATATACATGTACCATTTTCTTAAAGGAAGTAAAGAAGACAATAAAGATCAAAGGAACACGAACTTATATAATAAAGAATGTCATCACCAGCAGTCAATAACATTATATATGGAAAAAGTGCATTCGAATATACGGTGTCAAACGTATCCACAATAACGCAATCAGTGTTCACACCCCCAATAGCAACCGCTTCTGATATGTTTTGGGAAATGGAATTCATACCGGTATATAAAATATTCACACTTTTTAGTTATTGACGTGTATTTATTAGTTTGTTTGATGTATTTAAGTCATATGAACACGATCCCGACCACTGCGCATTATTTCTTTCGGCAATACCTAATCCGGAAGAAGCTAAAACACTGGATTGGTCGATGCGCAGTATAATGTCGGCGGTAGTTTTTGTTAAAGATCCGGAAACTAATCAGGAGATAGAGCGGCGAGATATTGATCATTGTTTTTCGCCAAAAGCACCAAGTTGGGGTAAAGCGTAGAATTTATCGATTTTCGATGTGTATTAATCAACATTATATATATAAATAATATTTTTTTATAGGTTTTTTTCAATTCTTCAAAAGGTCAGAAATTCCAGAACATGACACACTGATAATCGGTATAGAATTTCAAAATTCAAAAGTTCCGACTGTCAGTTGTGAACAACCATTCCCAAATAGACGAATTCCTGACGACTTGATAGACGCATGGGTTGAACAGGTGGACAACCCAGAGACATCAGATATAAGATTCAATTTAAACGGTCACTTTATCTATGCGAATAGTGCAATCCTTTCCAAGAGATCCAAATATTTCGCCTACATGCTCGAAGGTGAGTGGTCTCGTCAACGACCTACGAGTCGAGCATCAATACGAAGCGAGCATTCTCTACGGTATTATGATCAGACTTCATTTTCCACAAGTTCAAAGTTCAAGTACATGGTAGACGTGATGGAATTTCATCATGAGACTTTTTTGGAGATGCTACGGTTTTTATATACGGATCAGGTAACATTCGATGATGATAAGGAATGTCATCGTACGGCGTTTGATATGTTTTCTATCGCAGATAAATATTTTATTGGGGACTTGAGACAAAGGTAGCTTTATATCAAAAAAATTTATTCTTCGAAATAAACTTAAATTTCTGTTTATTGAAAAATTTTCATTCAATTAGAGCCAAAATGGAAATCTTCGAGAATTTACATTTAGACAATGTAGCCGAGGTACTTTTCGGTGAAGCATGTAAATGGGGTGACCTAAAAGAAGATGTTCTAAAATATTTTGTAGAAAATTTTGCGCAAGTTAAAGAAACCGATGGGTTCAAGAACATATTGTTGAATCCTCGTGAATACCCAAGGTTTAGTGAGGTTTGGTTAGAGATTATGCAGTTGGTAAAAGAATAAAGAGGAAAAATAGCAATTTTGGATAGGATTTGGTAGCCTGTTATAGATAGTTGTCAAAATCATAATTATTTTTATATCAAAACTCAATTTTACAATTTCTAGTCGAGAGAATTATTTCTTTACAATACATAATAATTTCAAATAAACAAACAAGCACAATTTTAATGTTTAGATGCGCAACCCATCCTTCGCATTATTATTGTTATCATTATTATTATCGTCATTGTCTGCCGATGATGGTTCAACAAACTCCATAACTTCACTTAACAACTCCTCAAAATTATCAAACCTCATTGGATTATTCACCAAATTCTTCCATTCCTCAGTCTCTTTTACCTTTTTCCAATTTTCCTTCAAATACTCCATCAAACATTCTTTCAAATCCGGCCACCTAGCCACCCCGCCAAACAGAAATTCAGCGACATTATGCACCGATAAATTTCCACACAATTCCATTTTCGCACGATCTCGTAATTCCGTGACGCAATATTTATCTGCCACAGAAAATATGTCGAACGAGGTGGTTTGCGAGTCGTCACTATAGTCGTCAAATGTCACTTGATTTGTGTAGAGAAATCGTAATAGCGCGAGCATTGTTTCGTGGTGAAAGTCAGGCACTTGTATGGTGTATTTGCATTTTTTGGGTGATCGTTGTAGAATTGTGCCAGAGTCTTCGTCTTGAAACATTATAGATTCTGCATCTGCTTTTTGTTTTCCTTTGGATGTTGAACAAAGTGTTTTTGGATGATCCTCATGAGATTCTTCTGCCCAATGGCCTTGAAATAAATTGTAGAAATAATCTGATCGTTTCGCGAGAAGCACACTATTTGCATAAAGTTTATGCCCGTTAACATTAAATTCAACGTCTGCTGTTTCTGCGACACCTAATTGTCCATTCCAAGCTTCTATTAAATCTTGTGGAAAAGAGTCAGCTGGAAGTTCATTATCATGCCGAGATTGTACGAGTTCTGATTCAGTAAATGTCACGCCAAAAATTATTTCCTCGCCTATTACTAATTCTCTTTTACACATTCTTTTTGATCCTATCAAATAATTATCGTCAGAATTTCGGAATGCAAAATATTTCTTTGTGTGTTTATAGAATGATAATACCTTGCCCTCTCCAACGAGATGCGAATCTATCAGTACGAACCTCATAACTCTCATACTCTGACTCGTCTTCAGCATCTCGCAAGAACAATGTGGCGTTTAGATTACTACGTCTTGGCCATTTAGAGGGAGTGCGTTTCTCATCACTGTTTGGGATTGCAAATAGAAATAATGCGCAATAATCTGTATGGCCTGGTGAACACTTTAATTAAATCAATAAATCATTATTAGGATTTGAATACAAGTTATAAAATGAAAATTATTTTAGTCTTTTATTATTTCTTAGTTTACCGGTGTAAATTTCAATTGCCAAAACATATCATACGACGTTGCAAAAGGAGGACTAAACACTGGTCCAGTTATTTTTGAAAAATCAATTGTGAATTGGTGGCTGCTTTTCCCTTTTATAATTGAGTCTGAAGAATCGGTGTCGTCGCTGTTGATTTTTGACATTTTCCGCCCATGTAATTTGTTTTAGTCTATGGAAGAAAAAATATAAAATTATAGGTATGTATTTGTTATCCATTATTTGATAGTTTAAACAACTTAAATATCTGGCGTTGCGCATATACTTGTATACTCTTAGACGTTTACATTTTTTTAAAGACAATTTCAAATATTTGAATGATTGTTTTTTTACGTTGGCAATTCAACCGTTTTTAGGCAACACCAAAAATATGTACGTACTTGTTTACCAATCAAACGATGTGTTCGTGATGTGCATAAAAGTCAACTTTAACAGTAATACAAATACAGTAGAATGTAACGGTAAGCCTTGATTAGAGCTTACCAATTTCCTATTCGAATATTATTCGAATAATAAGAATCCATTCGAATATACAGCAACTAACTAATATTTGACGAATAAAATAATTTTATTCGTCAAATAATTTATATACAGTGAGGTATATATTGAATTCGGCTAAGTAAAACTTTGATGGCCCAAGAGCATTCGTTTTATATTGCGTTATCAATTAAAGAAATTTACTTCTAACGATATATAATTCTTATTACATTTATGAAAATGAACGAATAGCATAGTAAATAATATAATAAAATATAACAAAAAAAGGAATTGCTCTGTAATATGCGACGGATTGTGCTGAAAAATATGTTGTAATTACGCGATCGATTGTGCTGAAGAACATGCTGATATGATATTCTTATTCGAAGAATAATCATATAAAAGATTTTTATATCTTATTCGAATATTCTTCGAATACGCATTCGTTAATAACGAATACGAATCTGAAGTTCTACTTTTGATGGGAAAATTTTGACTTTAATAGAGAAATTTTCAAAATACCCTAGGATTTCTTTTATACTAAATAGGCAAAAATGTGATTATTCACTTTCTCTTGCCAGGACTACAAGTATTAGTTTTAAAAATAACTAAAAGTTTCGATTGTAATTACTTATATAATAGTTGAATTTATAAATTTATATAGTTTTTTTAATAATCATGCTGATTTTCTATGAATATTAAATACTGATTTATTTTCGATTATAAAATTTTCTTTTCATCTAATAATTATATTACAGTAACTGTCATAATTATGGGAGTTAGGGGGTTGATTTTATTAATAAAACATAGTAAAAATTAAAATTATCTCTATATTAAACTTTATAATTTTATTAAGAAATATTTATATCAAAAAAAGTTTATAAGTTATAGTTTAATATATATTTTTTCAGATTTTTTATATTTTTTATAAGTATTAATTAGCCTAATTACAAAATCATTGCAATTAGAATAATTCTTTCAGAAAAAATCTAAAAAATCTGAAAATAATATATAGTTAGTAGCAAGAAGACTTAACTTTTTAATTATATATATATATATATATTATATCTATTAAAAAATTATTTAAGACTATTTACTAAATAATATTAATATTATTTTTTATTAACTTTTTAAATTAAAAAAATTAATTTTAAAAAATAATTTAAATTTAATTATAAAATTTACTAATTGAAGTTTATATAAAAAATTTTAATCATATTTTTTTATTATATAATAAAAATTTATTAAATTTTTATCAGAATTTTATTAAAAATTTTATATAATTTAATAAACAAACTCATTTAAAAATAATGTATAAATAAATTATTAAAATTATTTTTAATTAAAAATATATATATAAATTATTTTTTTATTAAAAAAATCATTTTTTATTAATTTTTATTTGATTTCAAAAAACAATTAAATTTTTATTACTAATTATATATTAGGTTATAAATTATAAATATTTTAATATAAAAATAAAATTATTTATTAATAAAATTATAAAGAAAAAACTTTAATTTTTATTATATTTTATTAATAAAATTAATTATTAATATACAGTAACCATCAAAAGTAATGCAATTCTTAAATTTTTTACTAATTATAATTAGTAAAAAATTTAAGTATTGCATTACTTTTGATGATCACTATATTATCTTTGATTATTATTATATTATAATTATTAAAAAATATATTAAAAAACAAATTATATTTTTAATATATTATAATTTATAATTTTACTAATATTTTTATTTTTGTATTAAAATAAAATTTATAATTTATAATTAATATATTTTTTTTAGATTTTTAAAATATATTTTAAAGAATTTCAAAATATAATTATAAAAAGTAATAAAATTTAATTAGAAAAACTTTTTAATAATATTATATAATATTTTTGATATATTCTTAAAATCAATTATTATTATAATATAAGAATAAATTTATTTATAATATTTTATTAAATATTTTATCTATGAAAATAAGATTAGATAATAAACTTTTAATTTATTATTTTTTATTTTTTATAATTAATAAATTTTTTATTATTATAATATTATTATATTATTTAATAATAATTAAAAAATAATTAAAAATTTTATTTATAAATAAAATTTTTTATTCAATTATCTATTATATTAATAAATACTAATTATTATAAATAAATAAATAATTTTATTTTTTTTCTTAATATAAACTAATTTATTTCTTTTTTATATATATTTATTAATAATAATAAATATTATAATTTCTGATTAATTACTATAATTATATAATATTTATTTGTTATTAGTTTTTTACTAAGTTATATTAATTATAATTATATTAGATATAAAAATATTGAATTTTTATTTCAAATTATTTTAAAAATTTATAACTTATTTTTAGTTTGATTTAATTTTATTAATATTTTAATAATTTTTTTATAATATTAATAAAATTAATTAGAATTATATTTATTTAAAATATTTATAAATTAATTTTATTTATATATAATTAAATCAAAATAAATAATTAGTTTTCAAATATTTTTTAAGATTTTAGATAATTAATCTTTATTTTTGTAATAAATTTAAATTTATTAAGAAAATAAAAAATTATTTATATCTTTAATTTATTTAATTATATTTATAAATTTTATATTATAATTTTATATAAATTTAGTTTAATAAAAATATATTAATATTATATTAATATAAATTTTTTTAATTTTATAATTTTTAAAAATTAAAAATTTTATTTAATTAAATATTTCTTAGAAATCTTATAATCTAATAAAAATATAATTAATATATTAATTATAAAAATAGAGATTTATTAATAATTTATAAGTATAATTAAATCTTTTTATAATTATATCTCTTTACAATTATCTTTTTTTATAGTTATTTTTTTAAGTTTCTAGTTATTTAATTAATTATAATTAAAAAAATCTCTTTATAATCATATCTCTTTTTAATTATTCAATTTTATTTCTTCAAAAATGATAAATATAAAGAGATTTAATTATATTTATCTTAAGTATTTATTAATATCTTATTAAATTCTTATAAATATTTACTAGATATATTTTATATTATTACTAATTTTATTATTATTTAATATTTTATTTTTATTTTTTATTTATATTATATTTTAAATTTAATATTTATTTTATTTTTTAATTAAAATAAAGATACTTTATAAGATTTTAGTTTAATTTCTTATAAAAAACTTATTAAATATTTATATAATTTATATTATAATAACTAGTTTAATATTTAATAGATACTAATAATTTTATATAATTTTAATTATAATATATAATAAAAAACTAAATATTTTAATTTTTTTCATAAATATTTATTTAAATAATATAAAAATTTAATATATATACTTGAGAATATAATAAATAATTTTACTTAAAACTACTTAAAGATTTATCTTATTAAAATTTTTTATAATTTATAATTTTAAAATTAAAAATTTTTAATAATAAGAAAACTTAAAAATTATTATAATTTAAGTTAATTATTATTTTGCAAATTAATTTTAAATAAATTTATTTACTAGATAATCAAGTATATATATTTAAAATATTATATAATTAAAATAAATATTCATAAATAATAAATAAAAAAAGATTAAAAAAAGTATTTTAAATTTTTTATAATCAATTTTTTTAAAAAAAGTTTTAATAAAAAATTTTATTAAGATAAGTTATTAAATACTAATAAGTAAATTTTTTTTACTAGATTATCAAGCATATATAAAGTTATTTTTAATATAATAAATAGTTAAATCTATATATAAAAATTTAAAAACTTTATTATATATTATATTAAGCAAAATTATTATATAATTTATAATAAGTTATTTCTAAACTCAAGTTTATTATATCATAATTTTAATTAAATTTTAATATATTAAAGAATTATAATATTAAGATTATCTTTATATATTTAAAAATTGTATAAATAAAATAAAATATTTATTAAATATAATTAAAAATAAAATATCTGATTTTTTTATTATATTATTATGATGAATTGATAAGTGGATTTTCACTTTGATTCACCCTAATGATATAGGATTGGGAGAGACTAAAATAATTAAAAGGTAACAAGAGGGGAATTAGACTATAACTTTCAATAATGACAAAGATTTCTAAGATCTATGCCAATATCTACGGATATTATCTTAATAAAGGGTAAATAAATAAAGAAAGAATAAAATAAATCAAAGAAATAATAAAGATTATCTGAGTGAAGCCACTAGTAATCAATATAATTCAAGATTTGAACTGATTAAATAGTATAAACTATTAATCAAAGAAAACTATAACTAAA